AATTAGGAAAAAAAGAGAGAGAGGGAGCTGGTGAATTGAGCGGTGCAGTGGAGCAGACCAAACTTAACAAAGGCATACAAGATTGAAATCCTTCGGCGATCGGAATATCATTACTGCATATGGGAAGTACGATTTACCGAAAGGTGCATCGATTGCCGCTCAGTTTATAATCCACCAGTGTGAGTTTAATTCGCCAGTGCAGAAAATATTTTGCTGGAAAAATAAGCTCGTCGAAATTGCGATTGTAACTGCGGTTAATCGCCATTTGCCCATTAAAGTCGAATTCACCCCGGTATCACCTCTCTGCTTGGTTAAAGTTGCTTTATTCCAAATATCTTAACCATCCTATAGTCTCACGAGTTTCATCTTATAACCAATAGAACAACAACAAATGAGGATGGAGTGTTGTCAGAAGAAAATTTTGATATCTTATAGCTTCGGTTTCATTCATTTCCAACAAATAATAATGGCATAATTTGTGAAATGCTTCAACTTATTGAAGGGTGGTGAATAATAAATAACTTACCTATAAAACTCATGAGTGATTAATAATGTCTATTAAAGCCAAACGATTTAATTAAAAGATGAAATACCTGACGACGAAATTATCGAAACTATATAATTATCTTATTAGCGTTGCTATGCTCATCATTGTTATCCATGAAAAGTTGATTGTGAAAGGATGCTACTAGCTAAATTTCATCATTTAATGCTTTCTTACAATTTTTTATTGATATAATAAAAGATAAATGATTGATCTAACAGCTGAGAATTATATAATATGTTTTATGTCGATTTATTATTATTTCACTCATGGGGAGGGAATGCTGCTCGAATTATTGCATCACCTTCGAGCGTCAAAGTTTGGGTTACACTCCTGTCATTGGAAAATCGGAATATTGTTAACGACCCAGTTGTGCTGCCCCTTATAATCTCTTCTTTATTCTCTAAATTGCTTACTAGCAAAAGCTTCTTTTAAACGTGTTAATAGCCAATGAAACGAGCCTAACTGGAAAGAGTGAGCGATGTGCACTTCCTTATAGAATTTTCTTGTAGAATATGTTACCGTATAATTTTGGATGTATTTGGTTAGCTTTTAATTCAATTTGTTTGTCGATTAAAAGAGTTAGCGTCGAATGAGTTCGATTATTACCAGTCTACTTCTCTACTTTAAATTTAGCAATACTCTTTGATTTCTCGTCTGACCTGCTTTGGTTTATTGCCAGGTTCTTTCAGATTCTATCGTAGGTAAGCAGATTATTCTAGGATGGAATTATAAGTAAGTGCACAGTAGCTCTCAGATTCGTTAAATTTCGTTCAGATTCGTTAAAATTTTTAAAAGTTTATTTTTAGACAATGCGATCCACTTTCATATTATACTTATTAGTCATAATAAATGGAAGAAAGTTAGGAGTTATAGAAATCGAAACAGAATTAATTGACATGTGCAGAAAAGCTATAAATGATGCTATTGTTAACAACGACTGTATTGAAGAAGGAATTGAGTAAGTTATAATGTAGGCTATTAGTTTAAAAATGGATGAGAAAGTGAATCATTAGAGAAATGACTCAAAATTTAAGCATAATGAATGCAAGTGGTTGCAATGAACCTGATTATTCCGCAGGTGGCGTCCATTCAGCAGAATTATATTATCAAAGTGCAATACAGGTCAACCTTTCTTTTTTCAAAATATTTTAATGTGTTGCGATAAATTGATAAATTATTTTAATCGCAAAATTGCAAAAATTTATAGGGATTAATTGGACCACGTTGTAATGATGAACTCATGGGTATAAGTCGATTAGCACATTTTTGGAATGTCCCCGTGCTTTCTCGGTTAGCCATTGATCCAGCACTTGCTAATACTGCAATTTATCCAACAGTCGTTCAACTTGATTTGAAATCTGCTACAGGATTGGCCTATGCTCTTAAACATTTGTCTGATAAGCTTAATCTGAGTGAGGTTATTTAATTTATATTCAAATTTTTTAAATATCTTAAATATCGTAAAAATGCATCATTCTTGTTGCATATATTCTTTATGCTTTGTATGTATTGAAGTAAAAATTACGAATTACTTAGGATCAGAATTCATCAGAATTCATGCTTGTGAGATCTTGCAAATTCATGGGAGTATATTTGAGAAAGAAGTATAGAATTAGAGAATGTAGCATGAGGAAGTATATATGATTTCATGATTATCATTCTACCTCTGCTTAGGCTGTATTTGTTACTCCATCAACTAGTTGGGATTCGAATGAAATTATCTTTGGCGTTATGTCTGCCGCATCAAGCGAAAATTTATTCGCTAGAATTTTTTATTTTGGTATTAAAGGACAAAAAAGAGTTAATGATTTCACGGATGAAATTCGCACAAGAACTCGATGTTAGTCTAAATTTCCAATTTTATCAAATTTTATCAAACTTTCATCACCTAATCAAATGAAAATTTTCCCTTCATTCACGCGAAATCCACGAAAATAAACAAAACTTTTTTTAGTAATTATTGTTTCAAATGATTTTACTAATTTACAAGAAATCTTTGATTTGATGGATGTTCAATTCTTAACACAAAATAACTATATTGTAATACTACTTTGTACTACTATAAGTACAATATGTACGCATGAAGTTAAATCCATCGTTCACGCAGCGAAAATTGTCGTTGTAAGTTATATTCCTTTATAAAATATCAAATTTGTTTTGTTCTGATCATAATTTTTTTATTATTTCTTTATTTTCAATTGTTCTCATAATTGTTCTTATAAATTATCATAAATTAAATCATAAAATATTAAAATGTCTTATAAAATGTCTTATTTTTATTTATGAAAAATTATGAATTAAGCTTTCACCAGACATTCAAAATTATGACGCGTTGACTATGGATATAAGAAATTTGCTACCCAATTCCATTCGATCGGTAAGATCTATATTTGACCAGCAATTTGTATGAATTTTTATAAACTTTAGCGAATGTATTAACTTTGGCTTTAAATTTGCTGTAATTAAGGCCTATTTCTGAAAAGCAGTGAGTTAAATGACGATTTTAAACTAATAATTATTTTTAAGGTTGTTTTTATTTAATTTAAATTCAGATCGATGAATTAAAAATTGTATACGACTCATGTTATGCTTACTGTTATGGATCTAAATTATCACAAACTAGCGGTAACTTTGCGATGGAAATGAGTAATCAACAATATAAAAGTATGATGAATTGCACATATTCGTTAATAATTGTTATTTATGAATTAATTAAAAATCAGGTTTTAATAGAAAAATTTAAAAAAAAACAATGAAAAGTTCGAAATGATACTTTATGATATATTCAGTTATTAAGTTAGGTAATAACTCATCCAAAGCAGTATGGTTAAATGTTTTGAATAATGCCAATTTGTAATGGTTTAACTTTCGCGGAGCAATGTTGGGTCTCTTTCTTTTTTTTAAGAGCCATTACTGGTTGGACCCCCTCCGCTGGTTTTCGCACTAGACAATATGCCAGAGAAAATATTCCTAATAGAAGTACAGTTAAGTCACCAGCATAACCCTGATTTTTGGATAGGCCCAATTCGAACCCACTCTTGGAGTCTCTTGTACAGCCCTACGGGGAGCAGGACATCGGCATCGGCGCTCAGAATAGAGCAACAACTCACTGAGCCATTCTACTCCATAGTGTTGGGTCTGTGTTTATACTTCCGTTCTTGCTTGGCTAGTTTCTCCCATAAAATTTTCCCACTATCCTAATTAAGCTACGCAATGAGTGCGAAACATTAATTATGTGTTTCGCTCATGTGATTTCCTCAAAATTTATTTTTTATTTCAGCAAGACTGGGAACAGTAAAATTAGATGCTGGAAGGAAGCGTCTTCAGAATTATGTATTTCAGTGGCTTCCTTCGCCAACAGGTCCATTTGTCGATGTATTTAGCCTTATTTCAGCTTCTTCTGACAAATGTATCAGCGAGAAAAAGTGTTTTATAATGGTTTGTTAAATCCTTAAATCCTTTAACGAATCTTTTTTCTCCACCTTGCATTCAAAAAGTTTTGCAATATTGGTACCAATTATTGCGTTGAAGACTATTGAAATGCTATTGAAACTGAAAGCCACTTCTAGCAAGTATGAATTTTTTTTTTTGATTCTTCATGTTTGAAAAACCTTTTGAAGTATGAAAATTTCTTTGAACAAACATTCTGGAACGAAATTCAATCCCGTTCAATACCTAAATGCGTATATGCTGGAGGATGTGAAGATTATACCGCTTTAGTTATTTCGCTCATACTTGCGTTATGCGTTATTACTGGACTGCTTTTGATGTGCTTATATCGAAGAAGGTTAATGCATATCTTTTGCTTCTCATTTAATTAATAAATTCCACTTTTTCTATTTTATCACAAAAATTTGCTACATTATAGCTTGGCGATATCTTATCAAACGAGAAATTTTTTTAAAAATCTAATAATTTTTAAAAAATGCAATGAATTTAAAAAATAGTATTTTAAGACAGCACATAAACGTCTATCGGCTTATTTGGAAAGTTGCGAAGGATGATTTAAAAGTTATTGAAACTAAGCAGGTTTTTATTATTTGTTTATAATTATTTGTTTATAATTATTTGTTTATAATATAATATGAGGATTTTTCGGCAACTTGATCTTTTTTCTCCTAACAGCATCATTACTTGTTAGACTAGTTCCGCTGGCTACAAGGATGGACCTTTCCCAGTCTCGAGATCTGATGATAGGTCTAAAAATTTTACAGAAGTCAGTTTTTTTCTCGCTATCTAAGCCCATATATCGTTAGAAGCCAATGTTCATTCAAATTCTCGTTTGATCTTATCCAGGTTTTAAATCGGCCTTCTCGCCTTTGACAATATTCATTAAAAGATCGAGATACGTGTTGCTCAATTCTTATAGCGAAATAGTCTGAGCAGTTTTATCCATTACAGAAAAGTTAATATAACCATAAGTTTCATCGAGTTTCAGTCAAAAAGCAAAGCGTTGACTGAAAATCAAACTAATAAACGTCGTGCAGTCGAAACTTATGCATTGTTGGGTGCATCAAAGGGTGAATTTATATGTCTGAAGCAGTGCAAAAGGATATCATGGAGCAAGGAACGAGCGAAAATGCTATGTGAATTGAAATCGTTAAACCATGAAAACTTAACGAATTTTCTTGGAATTTGCCATAATGAAACTGATCGATTTTATACAATTTATACGCTCGTTGAACGGGCATCTTTAGAAGATTTTATTTTTGATCAAGATTTTAATATGGATGCAACTTTTAAATCTGCTTTTATTAAAGATATCATTAAGGTGAGTTCATTTCTTTCCCTCCAGCAAACTCTACTGAACCTGATTATTCGGTGTTTTCTTTTTCTCTTGTTTTCAATGCATATATTTTAAAATATAATCAATTTTTTCTGACGAAAAATAAAAGTACAGATGAGTCGTTACAGCCGAATTTTTCGGGAAAAAACTAAAACTAAGACAATAATAAGCAACAATCTTTCCGCTTTTGATATTTGTATATGCTTTTAGGGACTGTTGTATTTACATAAATCACCGATTGGCTATCATGGCATGTTATCATTAAAAACATGTCTTATTGATTCAAATTGGGTTCTTAAAATGACTTGTTTTGGAATTTCGACGTTATTTTATGAACTTATCAAAGATGAATATCTAAAAACAATGGAAATTATATCTCATAAATGTTATTTTTAAGTATAATATTTATCTAGATTTGGTTGTATCCGGCATTTTCGATTTGGCTAAGAATCAAGCACTTGGGTATAACTATAAGGGAGCGATCTCCAGAATCTCCTGAATTTCACTTTTAATTTTGTAGCAAAATTTACTTTTATCGAAACGAAAAGTCTATGATAATCAGTCGTATGCGGAATATTATAAGGTGCCACTCCTGATTCTACAAAAAGAATAAAGGAACGGTTGATGGATAAAAAAACCTTTGAAGAATTTCTTGCAAATGCTGATTGTCCAAAAAAAAAATAATTTGATAAATTAAAAATAAATTAATTCTTAATTTGTATTATATTTCAATTATAAGCAAACTATTAAATGATTAATGATAAGCCAAGAATAAAGTATTTTCTATATCGTTAATTTATTTTAGATTATATAAATATAGCACCTGAATTACTGGAAGGTGTGCAAATTGGTCGAATGTATCCACCTGGCACACCCAGCGGTGATATTTATAGTTTTGGAATGGCACTGTTTTCAATTATTTATCGCTGTGAACCTTTTGAAAAAACAAGATTGGCAATGAAAGGTTTGAAATTTTGAGATGAAACAAAATAAAATAGTGGAAATAGGCAATTTCGAAAAATTCAAAAATTATCTTAAATTTGAGTTAATTTTATGTACAATAATTAGTTTTTACAGATATAATTGATCGAATTATGCAAAAAAAACTGAAGCCAGTTATTGAAGAAAATGAAGATGACCCGGTTATGACAATTATCTTTTATCAATTATTAATCTTTTTTAATTTATTAATTCCCGTCAAGGGCTAGGAATCATAGCCATGGTGTTTGAACTCAAGGCCATAATAATTTATCACTCGGAAATGGAGCACCAGATTCTTCTAATAAGGATTATCGTCGAAGGGTAGATTGAATTTTCATTTTAAATTCTAGTTAATTGCACTGATGAGCCAATGTTGGAGTGACGATCCAAAAAGTCGACCAAACTTGCGAACTATACATCAAACGGTTGAAACGGCATTCGCATCATTGTGAGAAATTTTTCTTTTCGATTTAGTATTTAGTCGCTTATGTATTTCTTCATTTAGAAAGAGTAACCAAGTAGCACAAGCAAAGCCATAAGGCAATGTTTTCGAAACAATAAACAAAGTAAAAAGAAGGCAACGTCAGTAAATTGCGTTATTTTCTAGCGTTTTATATTAATGTTTATACAGTAAATTTAGAAGCAAATGAATATTTTATTTCAGCAAAGGTAATCTCGTTGATCAAATGATAAAAATGAACGAAAAATATGCGCAGAATTTAGAACGAATTGTTGCTGAACGAACATCATTATTAATTGAAGCACAAGAGCAGACCGACCGACTTCTTTGCGAAATGTTACCTCCGTAAAAGTTTCTACCTATTTTGCCCAGTTTTACTCCATAATCATCAACCCTCACACATCATTTTCATAGTTCAAAAATATTTTTATTCATATGCTACCATTCTTATTCTTTCTTGGGATCTCTTTGGATTTTAAAAACCTTTCTTTTTTAACAAAATGTGAAATAATTTAGAACGATTGCTGCACAGTTAAAAAGTGGTTTGCCTGTAATCCCGCGAAATTACGATTCTGTCACCGTCGCTTTTTGTCAAATTGTTGATTTCTCTCTTCTGATGGCTAAATGCACACCTGATCAGGTGATATATTTCATTTATTTCATTTTTATTCCGTTCGAATTTGGGCCCACAAACCAAAATCTAATTTTCATGCAAACTAATTTAAATGAAACATTGTTCTTTAAAATCGCCTGAATATTGAAGGTACAATATTGAACAATATTGAAGGTAATATCATTTTTGAATGATGTTTTCACTCGATTTGATATCATTATAAATCGTCATGATGCATACAAAGTTGAAACCACTGGTGAAACATATATGGTAGCGTCAGGAGTACCAAATGAGAATCAAGGTCGTCACATATTTGAAGTTGCTGAAATTGCGCTTGAAATTCGACAAGTATATTTTTATTTTACTATGCATAGTAATTTACTTAAAAAATGGGCTGCCTGAACTAAACGTAGAACTGTAGCCATCCCTTTAATTTACAAAGAAGCAGCACGAATTTGCTAAACTTTCCCAGTATTCTAAATTATAGCGCTTGTTTTTGCTTTAATTTAGTTTAATGTCGTTTTATTTAAAATGACTAATTTATAATTTTTTTTGTTTCTTCAATAAGTCATTTCGTGTTTGCAGAACATTCTGTCTTATAAGGTTGCTTGCGTAGCTGAATGGAATCTTCGCGTGCGAATCGGTTTTCATTGTGGTCCTATAGCTGCTGGTGTAATTGGCTTACGATCACCACGTTATTGTCTTTTTGGCGACACTGTATTTATTTTTTTCAATATAAATAAATATTCGATTTCTTTTCAATTTTGCCTAGAAGGCCTCATAAATTCTTATAAATTGGTGTATGATACAATAAATTGTACAATACAATATAATATATTGTACAATTAAAAATCTTCAAAAATTATTAAAGCTTTCGGGTTTCCTAACTTCTTAAATTGATCTCTTTTTTACTTATTGGTTTCATCAAATTATAAACCAATTTATGAAACACTGGCTTTGGCGACGATATACCGAATGCAGTGAAATAAATGCTAACAAATAAAAAATTAAATGTTATAATATCTTTGAAGGTAAATTTTGCATCTCGGATGCAAAGTAATTGTCAACCAAATCAAATTCAAATGGCAGAAACAACAGCAAAAATTTTAATGAACTCAACAAAATACCAGTTAACAAAAAGAGGAATTGTTCACGTGAAAGGAAAAGGTTTCACTCAACTGCTTTTCGCTTTATAGTTTAATAAGCTTTAATGAGTTTATTTATTTATTTGATCTGCCATTAAAATTTAAATTAAGCTGGTTGTACAGTTATTCAAATGCCTCTCTGGCTAAAATGTATGCTAATGTCCGTCAGACTATCTCACTATTCCATAAAATCCATTTAAACCATTAGAGCAGACTGGAGAACACGAAAAAAAAGAAATGAATTTGTGTTTATAATTATCAATTAATTATTTTTTCATTGGTTGAAAAATGGAAATAACTTGAAAATATCAAAGATTTATTTAAAATTTTTTTTCAAAAAAATTGTGAAATAAATAAATCAGGAGCTGTCAATACATACTGGTTAAATGAACATATCACCGTCCACGAAAATGTGAATACCAGTGAAAGCAATAAAATTTGTGATGCTGATACTTCAATTTGATACCAGGTTTTTTATTTAATATGCCAACAGTTAATAATTTATATTTTGTTCCTAATTTATTTTATTGGTTATTTATTTTATTCATTTTATTACTGGAGATATTCACAAGAGTTATAACAATTTGTGAGACGCAGGATATTAATTAAAATATGGAAAACTGGCGGTAGATTATTTCGGTGAAGATCAAGCATTACTGGCTCAATTTCTGCCCCTTGACATGAATAAGTCTGTGATCAGCAATGAAATCTCCTTCTTCTATTCATGTTCATGTACTTCTATTCATGAGTGACCCCGTATCCTATTAAATCATCCCCTTATCCAATTAGAATAAATGCTGTTAAAGAAGGAAAATGAATTTTATATGGATATACTTCAATATCTGAAAACTCGCCAAGAGATTATTTTCGACTATATTTCCTTTCGTTTATTTGGTTCTGCAATGAAATTACGTCCATTCAATTTTCTTAGTAGTAGTAAGTATAGTTGGTGGTGATGGTAATAATATCTTATCAGATCCGCGCAACAGATTTGATGAGTCCCTAAGATCCAATGAAGTTGAAGCTTTTAACTCATTCTGAAATTAAAATTACTCTACATTTAAACTTAAGCTTATATTTTAAAATTTCCTATTGAAAATGATTTTCTTCTAAATACTTTTCAGCAAATCGAATGAGTCGAGAATCGCGCAAATACTAAAAAATTCCATGATGACACTAGTAAAAATTTCTAAATTTAAAAAAAACAAAACTTGAACTCTGACCTTTGTATCTTGAATAGCCTTCGTTGTTGAATTCGTTGTGCCGCGAAAATCGACAGTGCTCTGAACACTTCGTTTCATTGATGATTGCCTCCTTTGTTTTATTGCATCGTAATATCCATCTCTCATTGAAGAAAATACTATTGTTATTAACTGAGTCCAAGCTGTTGCTGTATCTGATGGCTTAAATTTTTTCATCCAAAAATCTTGCATCTCATATTATTTTAATGCGGATATAACGAGGTGTACAATAACTATAATACTTGCGTTGTACCTTTGTAATAAAGGCATATTTTGTATTTTTCATTGTTATGTAAAAATTCTATTGGATGGCTGAAATTCTTATTAGAGGATTGGAAACTTTTAGAAATAGTAAATGTGTGGGCCTCATATTTGGAAACGTTTAAATCAACTTGATGATTAGCCAAATCGAGTCGCACAGCCTCGGAAAATATTAAATCAGCCATTGGTACCCAAAATTCCGATTTGAATCCGTGCCTTTTTAATTCAGCATGCATTGCACCATAGCGGTACGATGTTCGCTCAATCATTTCGATATCATCAATCTTTAAATTTTGCGTAATAATGCGTAATAATTCGAATGCTCTTCTATAATCTAAAAAATATTTTATTTCTCTTTGACAACGCTTTATCGCGATAATATTCTTTTAACTTCTAATCAGACTTATTTATTTCTGATTAAGAATCTAACATTTTTAACGATCTCATCCAAAAATGTGCGCAAATCGTTAGCGAAATCACACGTCGATGAAGTTCTAAGCCGCTCAGCGAAACTGAAAAAATTATTTAAGCAAATATTCATTTAAAAAAAGAAAAATTCCTAAATTTCTTATCATTGTCAATTCTCATGCAATTAATGGCAACAAATAGCTATTTAATTAGGGTTTACTCGATTTATAGGACCGATATCCCATAACTTCTTCATTAGAAGCATGGATAAGCTGCCTAATGATGTTTTTGTTGTCCGCTGTGGTTCTCCAGCTTTAAAAGGAAGCTTAGTAGTTTTATTCATGACATCATTTAAAATCCTTTTTGCGGCCTCAGACCTTTGATAGAATTAAGCTACTATTTTTATTATTTGAATTAGACTATTATTTTATGCTTCATTACTTTCTTTCAATTCGTTGTTGCCAATATCAAAATAGGCTCTTTCTTTACAATAGAAAATAATAATTTTAATTTTTCAGAAGATCTATAGGAGTTGCAGGATGAATAAGTAATTCCAATAGTGCTAACTGACAAAACCATCTGGTAGGATAAGCGCGTGGTTCGTAATATCATCAATTCAATTCGATTTCTGCGGAAGGAGAAAAGAAAGATTTATGCAAGCGATACCTTTACTTTCACTACCAATTGACTACTTAGCAAAAATTTCTAACAATATTAACAAGGCAAAATAGAAATGGTGAGCAACCGACTGTCCGATCGAGGATTCTACAGATGAATTTTTTATGAAATTTTTTTTTATGAATTAGAAATTCCATTTAAATATATTTAAACACCAAAGTAACGAACGTGCGATAATCTTTACGTTTTTCCATTAAACGAAAACAAATCTTTTCTCCAATTGCTCGATGAGGTTCATCAAAACAATTTTGTATAATTTCTCTTCCCTGCGTATTTATTGGATGTTTTCTTAAAGTTCGTTGACGAGTTAAAGTTAAACGACTGTTTGATAATGAATTGCTGAAATATATTTCATGAGTAAATGTTTTTTATCGATGAAATATGAATAACGACATGAAGATTGCTTCATATATTTTAGCGACTTCTTTCTTTATCGTACAAAAGCACTTATAAGTTCTTCTGGTTTAGTTGGGTCCACTGACTAGGATCAGAGCTTTCGTTAAAGAGCCATTTGGTGAAGGAGGTATGGTGAAAAAAATTGAATCCCAAAGTACCATCTAGCACCATTTCACTATCAATGAAATTTACTCAGGTCAAAAATCGAATCAGTGCTCGTTTGATCTTAATGAACCAATATGACTCGATGCTATTCCGTTTTGAAATTTTCAAAAAATATTTATGTGTAAACTTATACTTTGAAAATAATGAACTCATAAGCAACATAAATAATTTTAAAATTTAATGGGACTCTCAAAACATCAAATGTCAGCTGTTTTAGCTGATTCGATATATTTCAAACCAAGTTTACAAATCTATCAATCATAATATTAAATCTCCACAGTCTTAAGATAAATATAAATACTACTTGCAAAAACGTAATAACTCATAAAAATCCTTGAAAATGATGCAAATTCAGACTTTTCTAAGTGAATGCAGTTAGAGAAACTGACCTTGATAAGTTTTTCGACATTTGTAGGCTTTTGTCGAAGTTCGAAGATTCCCTTTGGGATGATCGCTTTTGACCAAATCTAACAGTTTTTGGTGACGATTTTTGATTGGATTGTTGATCCAAGGAAAGAGAAGAAGAATAGTTTGCAACAGATTTTTGAAGATTTTTAGTATTTTTCAGGCCATTCAATGCGTTAATATTGGAATTATCACAATCATTTTTACGATTCTGCATCTTTGAAAGTTCAATTTTATTATTTATGATGTGACAAACATCTTTCGAATCAAATTGTTCAGCCAAAGAAACAGATTTTGATTTTGTATTTCCCATTAATCTCATTAATATGTTTTTATAAAAAATTGCCGTAAATATAACAACAAAATTTCGCCTTCAATCGACAACTGAAAAATTTTTGCATAGGGCTCATAAAAAAAAAAATGATCCCATAAACAGCAATTAATTGTCGTGGATAGGGGATATTTACTAGAAAGAAAGCAAAATGAAGTGCGAGTTCTCCTATATCCTCTTTCCTTTTCTGTCCTCTTTCATTCTTAACATGAATTATTTATTATTGGACTAGAATAGCCAAACTAGAAATAAACGAAGTATTTAAGATAATTTTTTATTTAAATGAAATCTTAAGAAATATAAAGCAATGCAACTTTCCAACAACATAATTTTCCATTTCCTTTCCCTTGAAATTGGCTAATTGCATCCATGGAGCAATAGCTTAAAAATGTTTGTTGTTTAGACAAAGTACATTAATAGTTAGTAGAATCTTATCTAATCTTATCCAATTAGCGCTCAATTCTTCCTTAATTTTGTTAAATAAATGTAAGCGACAAAATAAAAAAATTGATATTATATATGCATTATAAATGAGGCTTATTATAAATGAGGCCTAATTTAAGGCTTCTGAGATCCATATCCAAAAATCGCATCCATAACTACTGAAGAAACCTTCAATGAAATTTCATGCCCAAATATTTTGCAAGAGACTTTTTTGGATTAACTATTTTTTAAAAATTATTAACAAGTTATATATACCTAATTCTTAAAAAATTCCTTCGTAGAACTAAAAAATCTGCCAAAAAACTTTCTTTATTCTTCAATATTCTTCAAATACTTCTTGTTATGTTAATAAAGATAGATGAAGTCTGATAGCTTCACAGGCTCGATTTCTGTCCCTTTTCGGGAGCAATGTCATTGAAATTCGAATAATGTTTGAGACCCATCTGTACTTCCATCTCTAAATGAATCTATAACGGTCTCACTGTGATAGCTAATGGAACCACAGAAATGATATTAAGAAAAAAAGATTTTGATAGAATAAGATTTCTAGGAAGTCGCATACTGCATTCGTTCATAATATTTATAAAAAATATTTTATTAAGTTTTAATTAGACTTTAATGGTATTTTAATATTGTTGTCCCACATTTGAAATTTTTTTAAGTGGATGAACGACTGAATTAAAATGAATTCAAATTTTAGCTGTGCTAACTCATCACAATTAACAGCATAGTTGATCAATAAATTGTATCAATTAAAACATGTCTCTGCTCGTTGATGAGATTTAACCTTATCTATAAATATCAAATCTGAACGGTGCCAGTGACCCACTTATTCTATCGTCAAGTGATTCTCATTCATATAACCAGTGCTGCCAGGTAAACTAGGAGCAGTGAATACTGTAGAAAAAAAATGATAAAAACGATAATTAAAATAATGACAATTTATTACGACTCACTGCTTATAATAAAGCCATGTTGCTTTATAATTTATAAAAATTACACATTAAAAATAATAACAACTGGTAAACTATGTTTATTTCGCTGGAAATTATCTTAACTTTATATTTGTATAAGAACTTCGTCGATTTTCAGTTTAGAAAGAAAATTGTAGATGCCATATCGTTCATTTAAAAAAATATTAAAAAGAAGCGAGTATCCAGTGTCGATATGAAATTTTCTTTAGATATCCGAAAAGCGGAATAGAAATGATATGGTAAAATACATAACTGGTTTATCAAAAAATGAGCACAACTTGTAATTCACTTCAAATAGCACGAATCCTTGACTCTTGAAGAAATTTTTTATCAAAAGTGAAATCCGAGCGATAATGGGCTTTACTTCTTTCTCCAGGTGCCACTGCCACTAATATTTTAATTCAAACCCTATGAACTTTTAGGATCAATTTCTTTTGTCTTTAAATTTAATTTTTCTTTTATTTTCTAGTTTTGTTCTTTCATTTCTAATTTTTTCTCTCATTCTTTTTAACAGGAACAAACCTGCCATGATCTCAAAAAACCATATGGCTGCAGGAGACCCAACTCCTTTTTCAAGTGACTCTATACTGAAAGGATCTGGTCTTTTGACATGGTGTCTACGTCCTCCGATGCATATGATAGTCTGGAGATTCATGAAGTAAATGTGCAAGCTGGGTATATTAAAATATTTGAGAATAAGATATATGTTCAAGTAATGATAAGTGCTTGGAAGTTGTCTAGTGGAGCGAATAGCTTTCTGTTGGATCTCTGCACATGCTGCGTGGCATGTTGGCACTAGATGCTTGGAACATCAAAAGGATTATGGCCGTTACAAGCTAAGCCACCACTATCCACACTCTTTCTAAATACCACCACCTGCTTGTTTCATTACTTTGACTCGAAAAATTACTTTTTTTTTTTGTTTAAATAAGCAGAGATGTTGATTTTATCATTGTGATGTTTCAAATAAATCGGGACGAAATGATGTGGCGATTTTCATCTTTGAAGAAGCTCTAATCCAGTGGAAGGCGGTAAATAACTATGTGGTCTATACCGACTTCAAAGGAAAATTCTGCAATATTTCAGTCATCAGTGAACCAACTTTATGCGCTGATTACCACAATAAAAATAAGTTCAATGCGAAGCTTCAACTGTTAACAACATCTCTACCGAGAGGTAATATGGTAATAATTGTGGGAGACTGAAAAATGCGCGTAGGTCATGATGTCATTACGATGAATTTGGTAATTGGCAAATATGGCATCGCGGTCCAGCGCGTCAATGGAGAACGCCTTCGTTTTACCGAAGAATATAAACTCTTTTTACTAATACATGTTTTCGGCATCGAAGAAAACATCTAGTCACATGGAACTCTTCGGACAACCAATATTCCAATCAGATTGACTATATATATATATATCTATACATATATATATATATATGTCTGGAAGAGTAACTTGATAGTCGTTCTTGTCGGAGCGATAAAACTGGTAACCACCATAGATCTGACCATGTTAAGTTTCGAGCCAAGATTCGCATAAAACTGAAAAGTCGTAAAAAAACATATCCCAAGATTTTTCAACTATCTCAAATTGAAAAATCCAGAAATAATGAGCGCATTTCAAACCCTATTATCAAAAACACCTCAGTGAAATAAGCATCAATGATATCTCTGGAATGGACACCGGTCCCAACTAAAAACATGCTCACAAAATTCAGCCACTTCCACACTAGGGTATACTAATAGGAAATGCGCTAGTTGACTGTCGGAAGGAACTGTCCAACTTTTTGAAAAAGCTGTTAAAGCCCAGAATGCCAGAAGAATCTGTCTACCGGGCACTTCGAAAAATTACAACAACATCACTACAACAACAGCACTGCGGTGCGGGACATCAACAGAAATTATTGGAGTGATATGGCCTTTAGAATAGAGACGGCGGCTCGGAAAGGTGTAATAGGAAATTGTTTAGCCTTTTTCACAAAGCACCTATAACTCGAGAAAGGGTAAATGAAATGAAATGAAATGAAGGGTAAATGAAAGGATATTAATGGGGTGCCTATTAAACTTGTTAAAGATCGCCTCAGAAGATGGAATTTTTTGAGACCAAAATTAACTACGATGCACCATCTGTTGTCCTGGATATAACTGATTCGCCCGTCGAGCGTTACGTTTGCAACTGTGAACCGCCAACAGAAGAGGAAATAATCTCTGTAATCCATAGGCTTAGAGCCAATAAAACTCCTGGAGAAAATGGTCTTCAGGCAGAACTCTTCAAATATTATCCATCATCGTTCATAACTCACTTTCAAAAAAGTATTCTGTGGTATGACAAATATAATTAATACTAGAAGACAGGAGCAAAGCAATTCTGCTTCCAATTTTTAAGAAAGATAATAGGACATGCTGCGACAATTACCGAGGAATCAGCCTACTCAGAGGATATCTCAGAGAAAATTTTTGCTTCTTTATTACTAAACAGACTTATGGCAGTACGAGACAACAGGATGCGTTCCTAATGGAGATGGGGCATAGTTGTGCTGACTAGATTTTCACGTTAAGGATACTGGAATATCACCTCAATTATCTGCAACCCACCATCATATATTTCGACTTTACGGCTGCTTTTGATTTAATTGATAGAGCGGCGCTTTGGAGGAACGCGATGTTACAGAGAAGATTATGCGACTCATAAAGACATTTTATGAGTGCATATCGGTGCAGGTCAGTGTATATGGGGAATTGATAGGCTCCTTCGAAATAAGAACAGGTCTCCGTCAGGGCTGCGTTCTTTCCCCCACAATATTCAACTATGCGATAGACTGGATAATGAACACCGCTTGTCGGCATTCAAGAGATACCCGATTTAGTCCAGAGCATCGTATCACTGATCTTGAATACGCTGATGATGTAGTCCTTTTTGCTGACAGTAAAGCAAGTAATACTAAATAATGGGTCAGAAACTGCAGAAAGAATCGGACTCAGAATGTAAATAAAACCAAAGCTTTTTCGTCTTATGTGCAAGAAGTTGATAAAATGTTTTTTTTTTGTAAATTCACTGCCAGTTGAGGAAATGCCTGATTTCAAATACCTTGAGTCCACAATACCAAATGGACAGGCAAAAGATGATATTACAACTCTGATCACGGCAGCTAGAAATGCGTTCTTCTAGGTTAACGAAACTTTTACGGTGCCGTCGTAAAATCACCATAAAAGCGAAAGCCAGCATCTAAATATCCGTGAATCGTTCGATCTTGCTATATGGCGCTGAGACATGGCCAATGAGAGTGGAAGATATTAAGAAGATATTATGTGCCTTTGACAACTCTTGTTTAAGGTACATTTTACGGGTCTCCATCGTGCATAATATCACATAATCGCATCCATCTTCGTTTAAACACCACCTGCATTAAAGTGCCATTACAGAGCGTCGGGGGTTCGATTCCCCCACCTTCCACTGAGATTTTGAT